ATTGACTACTCCGGGTATATACAAGAAGAAAATAGCCTTGAGTAAGGCGAAATAGCCCAGTAACCCCAATAAATACTTTTTAGAACTTACGAAAGTATTAATACCAACCATATACCAATAAAACCAGGTTTATAAAATATTTGAAAACCAGACATACTTCAGAGCTATCAATTCAGCTGTAATGGATAAGGAGTCCCAATTATTTTTTGCTGACCATTCTTTCCCTTATAAACAAGCTGTGACTTCATAGTGACATACTGTACATAGTGTTTTAGTTACCATACACATCACATTCTTGGACCTTTGTACCCAATAAAGTTCTCCTCATTTTAGTATTCAACAAATTTTTATATAATGACTTGTGTCTTCATACATAAAGAAAGATTTGTTATCTATTATATTGGAAAAATTTAAATAAGATTTTTCATTTATTACGATAACCATGAATAAGAAAACTTCAGTTATATGGGCTTAGCTCAGTACTTTTTAGGTAAAATTTGAGATTCATCAGACTGGAGGGGCAGCATTTGACCATTTAGTGGAGCCTGAATGGTGGGGCTTTTGATCATTTGGTTGGCCTGACGGTAGGGAAATTGACCATTTTTCCCTAAAAAAAACCTTTTGATGGAGCAAAAATGGACTAATGGATTGGATTTGATTTAATTGGATTAGATAAATGGAGTGAAGTAATAATGAACTAAAAGATTGAATGTGGTTTAATTGTGATGTGACGGCTAGTGCTCAAAAGGTTGATTTGATTTTATGGATATATGGATGGATGAATGGAGAAGGTGGGTACAGATAATAGATTGAATGTGATTGGATGGATAGATGGATGGATGGATGGATGGAGAGGGTGAGTAAGGATAATAGATTGAATGTGATCTAATTGGATGGATGGATTAATTTAGATGGATTGGAGGGTACATAGATAGATAGGAGGGATAGGATGAATAAATGAATGGGTGGGATTTCCCTGTTCCCTGTTTCTGGTTCCCGGTTTTTATGTTCTTTGTTTGCTATGCCCTGTTCTCTGTCCCATGCCTCTGTTTGCTTCACTGTCTTGATTATGAAATACATTAACCATGTGATCCGTGTTAAAAATATTTAATTTTGTTGCACTCTTGATAAATCTCAGCAGGTGATGGGTATGTAGGATGGCAGAACAAACAACAACAGAAATCAAGACGAGAAGAAAATTGAAAAGGAGAAGCAAGATTGCAAAAAGTGAGGAAAAAAACAAAAAACAAAAGAGACGCTTAGTTTTTGAACCTTTATTTATAAATAGACTACCATAGTAACCTTGGTTTCTATCTTCCTTTTATTATAAGCTGTTAACTAAGTCTTTCTAATATTTCTAGTTAGCTTGTTGTCCTGGGTCACACAATTATGAATCACATTAGAAGTTCTAGATAACATTTGTTGAGACAGTCAAAGTGTTTTTCTCTCCGTTCCACTTTTCCTTTGCTCTTGCCACTTTTCTCCATCTTGCTTTGGCTTAAATGTTTTCCCATTTCAGACCATGTGTTATTCTCTTGAGAAGAATACTCTTCATTTAAACCATATCCATATAACTGCCAACCGGTTGGCTCAGTTGGTTGGCATCGGAGTTCCGTGCGGGAGGTTATGGTTCGAGTCCCAGCCGGACCAATACTCAGGGTCTTAAAATAACTGAGGTGCTGCCTTTGTAATTACATCTGCAAATAGTTAGACTTTCAAGTGGCTCTGATGACCATGTAAAATGGTGGTCCTGTCTCTCCACACTCATCATTACTAACCAACATAGGAGGGACGTAAAAGAACCTCTGAGGACATAAAGAAACCCTGGCAGTGACCACCCTCAGTGC